ATACATGGAAATCAATGAAACAATGTAACTATGTCGTCATATTATAGCAAGGCTGACTTTTTGTTTTATGATGACGTCGCCACAGTTATGTCCTTGTTTAGCCTCATTTGCATGATTTCTTTGGCTGATGTAATATTAACAGCATGTTTTTTTATCGTAAAACAAATAGCTCCTTTGCTTCACGTTTGCACATAGTTGATTTCCCTTTCTCTGTGTGCACGGCATTATCAATCCTAAATTTAAAATCCCAGTGTGGGCCTTAGCGAAAGGCCAGCTCATGCAAATGTTAGTTCCCATGCCGCGCCTTGTTTGGATGGAGCTGATTAAATGACACAGAGCCCTGGCTGCTTGATTGTTGTCGAAGAACCACTGGACTATTTTGGTCTTCATTATGTTTTTTTCTCGATTTCAGTGCAGTTGTAAACACTATTGCAGCTGTAATCAAACACATTTATAAGTACTCCTGCTTCCCCTGTAGGCACGGAAGTACCACGCAGCTGGAGGCCCGAGTTATTAGCATCCCAGTTAATAATCCTATGGTGGCTCGTCTTATTGAAGCGTGCGAGGTGAAAGCGTGTTAGTCGAGAAGGCGATGGATGATAATGAGTGTTAGCCTCCCTGTAGCCAGTAAAAGGACCTGGCCTAATGTACAAAGTATAAATATCAAAGTATTTAAGTTATTTTCACAATGTTATATCCATCTACAGCTGCATCATGGTTAGGTGATGTCATTCACTATGTTCAGAAGCAAGTTGGATATAGTACATTTATGATGAAGGGAAATTCAAATGTGTCACTATTACCTGGTATTAAAAGGTAAATGATGTGGAGGGAGAACATTTGTAAAGGTTAGTAAAGGCTGAATACAATATCAGAAAAGTCTGAAGTAGTTGCACGCAAGAGTACTCCCTGATTTGATTTGCTCTAGTAAAGTGTTCAAATAAACCAGTTAAAGGGGCAATATTGTGCAAAATCCACTTAACCCTAACCCAAAATTTGGGTAATCTTGTTGTCCCCACCATTATTTTCGGAAAAAGTAACATGCCACTTGATGAGGTTATGGTGATATACTGGAGTTTTCTCTCCTTGTAATGATGTGAATAAAATATGATTATATTAGATGATAAATGTCTTGCAGTTCAATTGACATGGTTGATTATGTCCAGCAAAGAGTCCACAATGGAAAATCTGAAGATAAATGCAGTTGAATAACTAAACAATTATCAATTTGGCATAATTTCGAGGCTCATTGTTTCTATATTTTGTGCCTTTTTCAGTTTAAAAAAATTGCAGATTTGTTTGATGACTGCAAGCTATATATTGCAAAGGTGCTGGCAAATCATCTTCAGACAGGCTTTAAACAGAACAATCCTTTATCTTTTTTTCTCCTCACCCGGGTGCAAAATTGAACAGCTTCCCCTGTACGTTTGAAAATGTCAGGGCCTGAATACGAGGCGATTGTTCTTCGCCGGTATCCTTCAGAGAATCAGTATCCATCTCCCAGGCCGCTCGCTGTGCAGATTAAATAAAGCCTTAAGAAGTAGCACATATAAAGGGGGGTTTAAGGGGCGGCTGTAAAATCTCCATCTCGCTCCTTTTGCCTCAATTGCAGCGGAGAGGGACAACTATTTCAGGAGCCTAAGTTGTGGCCTGCTATTCCCGGGCGCAGTCGTGTGTATGTGCCATTGATGGCTTTGGGGTTTCGGAAATCCTTCACTTTATGCTAATCTGACGCAGTGTGGCAGGCAGACGGCTCTGGTGCGGTCCGACTTGGCATGTCTACACTACACTCACAGACTCGGCTAAGTAGCAATTACAGTGGGAGTGAGAAGGCAAAGTTGCATATAGCACGGCCGTATACAGCAAATCGCCCACGTCCCCCCCTGCTCTTGTCTTGTCTTGTTTGTGCAGCTGATGGAATATTGGATTAGGCAGAAACTCAAGATGGAAGCTTTGTTGTATTTTTTATTATGGTGTTGAAGTCTGGGATTTTAAAGTCTCCTTTGTGAATTATGCCAAAAGGCATCAATGATTCCACTTTAAGCTAATGATAGAGCAAAACAAGAGAGTGTGTAGTCTGCAAAGTGTCTTGACGGCATCAGAAGAAAACTAGATAAGCCGTTTTCTCCCAAATCAATACAGGCTGGACACTTAATTGAAAAATAGTTGCATTGCTTCAGGCTATTGGATTACTTTAAATGGCAACGAAACACGATTAGGCTTTAGAATCATTACTTAAATAGACAAATATGTCTACTTTAATAGAGCAGTGCCTGACTCATGTCAGGGTTCTCCGTAATAACTGCCTTCGGTCATAAATCCAACAAGTAGCTCATTTTCCCTTACCCAGTAAATTTAATAGCAAATCTACCCATGAGAGCCAAAACTCTCATGTGGTTTCTTGTAATTGTGACTATGTTTAATTATATTTTAGTAGAACTAGTCATTTTGATTGTTGAATTCAGAAAAAGGGCATTTGAATGAAACCTGCTGAAATGATATACTGTCATGAGCTTACTGTTTAGAGTTACATAATGTTACATTAATTGTCTGACAGCACCATGGTTTTTTGATGAAGACCAATTTATCTTTTGTAATACAATTCCAGCATTGTGATGGATCATATTTTTGCGTAAGAAAGCGTGGAAGAAACAGCATCTTATCCAGTCTGTTTTATTACTACCAGTTTGAATGATTGCATTTTCTTGCAATATTACGTCAAAAGGACATTTTACTGCTGTGTTAGTTTCTCCTTTACAGTGTGAATCTAGATTTGCTGCAACATCACTCCCTTTTCGATTTGTAATAAGATGAAGCATTTTCCAAAACAGCTCACGTCTCAAAGCTTATTCTGTCCAACCCGTGTTAGAAGTGAAATCTCAACGCAGCCCTTCATTGGCACTGTCCCGTGGCATTCCACACGTATTAAGCCCTGTGTTATATATGTTTTCCCGCTCTAGGTAAAAGCAGAAAGAGCACTTCTCCAGGTGCTGGCTCATAGGTAACTGATGAGATAAGCAGGGGAATTCACATTATGTCATGAAAGAAGAAGCTGTGTTGGTCCCATTAATCATGCACTGTTTCCGTAGGCTCTTTTGTTAGAGAAAGGCTGCTTTCCATATGGCATTGGAACTTTTGAGGCTGAAGACCGATATTCCAGTCTGCACAACAAGAGACTGAAAAATGGCTACTGCAGGAGGAAATCACAATAATATAATTGAGATAAGAGTCAGGCCTTTAATATTTTTTTATTCCATCTGTAAAGACTCAATACAAACATTGCATAATAATTATATCTATTACATATTTGCATGACTATACTGTGGCTGTACAATTCAACAATAAGAATCAGAATCCTTTTATTGCCATGTGAGTAACAGGAAGTCTCAAACTAGGAAATTGCTTTGGCTCTCGGTGCAAACAAGTTAAAGCAGAATAAAAACAAGAAGGCGTGCATAAATAGAAATCTACATACATTTCATCAGTTTACTATATACAAGTTGAGTGTAATAATAACTGTAGCAAGTGACGGTCATAAGGGCAGAGGTCAATGATGGTTTATGAAGTGTTCATGAGTCCAACAGCAGAGGGGAAGAAACTGTTCTTATGGCGGGAGGTTCTGGTCCATGGATCTATAATAATAACTGGATAGGGTATTACTAGCTTACAGCTGTCCCACCCATGGGCACAGGGGCCGCCGTGGTACTGCAAACTAAATTTATGTGGGCTACCCAGAAAAAGGTCCCATAGAACTCAAAGTAAACTAAACCAGCTTGACCTCAGCTGACAGAGAAGCTACAACTTTCATAAATATCGGATTTTGTGGGGATTTTAGTGTCCCTTGTCATCCTGAACTTTTCTTCTTCTTAAATCCTTCTGTTTTCTTTACACACTTTACTGCCACAAACTCTGCTCGTTTCCTTCCCGCTCTGTGTCCGCTCTAACTCTGCTCTGATGAGCAGCGCTGATTGATCAAAGCGTGCCGAGCCCCTCTGTGCACATGCATGAGAGCCACACACTCATGTTTGGTGCAATGCATCATGGGAGCTCGCCCACCGCGCAGAACCGTGAGGACCAGACGATACCCAAATATGGACGAGTTCCACTAATCTTTCGGTCTCCATGAAGTCCTGAGAGCTACTGAGCACAAGCCATTCATTTGAATAGGGCGCGATCTTGGATCTTAGGGCTTGTTCTGGTCCTGATGGACTGTAGTCTCCTGCCTGAGGAGAGTGGTTGGAATAGTCCATGTGCGGGGTGAGAAGGGTCAGCAGAGATACAACCAAGCGTGCCCGCGAGCTCATGCGACCCTGGTGTATGATTATATGGCATGGCATCATTGCATTTTGAAGGTGGCTGATCCTGGGTTTGAAACCTGGTCGGAACAGGGTCTTTTTGAGTGGACTTTGCATGTTCTCCCCGTGACTGTGTAGGTTTTTTCCGGGTGCTCCTGTTTCCCCTACCACTAAAAACATGTACAATAGGTCTGGCATGCGCCCCCTGTATGGTGACCCCGCTCCCATCTCTGTGTGGAGTGAGAGACAAATGCCCCTAAATGTAAAGCGCTTTGTGACGCTGGTCTGTGAAAGATAATAAATAAAGATTACTTACTTACTTACTTACTTAAGATGAAATGTTTATTAAGGTTTATTAGACAGTTGATTTTCACTAACAGCTGAGTTTTTGTTTAAAGTTCTCGATAATTATCTGACAACAGTTGGATCTGTATATGAGGTTGCCACAACTTTATAACTTTAGTTGAGAACTTGTTCTTTTTATGGTATCTCTCTGTTATGCTTTTGAGCTGGAGTACCCTCAAATCAAGCTACAACTTTGTCTTAGTCCTCTAATATTTACTGCTGTTTATTGCATTATCTTGTTCATCTAGTTTTGAGTTCTCCTTTTATTCCTACTGTTCTTCAGTATGCAATGTAATGTTCTCCCCAATGTGGAACAAATATTCTACATCCTTTTGACACTTCTTTTGTTTTGTCTTTCAGGTCTGGTCACTACTACGTCAAGAAGACTCGACCGAGAGCAGCAGGACGAGCACATTCTTGAGGTAAGCTCTTTTTTTCTCTCTGAAAAACTGCACGGCTCAACGCGAGCGCCTTTACTGTGTGCCAAAATGAAGCGGTTCAAACCTGTTCTAACCCAAGGTCAGCCTGGGCACTTCCTGAGTCTCTCTCTGATCCTTCAACCGTTATTGGAGCCAGGGAACGCCAACAAAAACAAGCCCTGTGTGTGTATGTGTGCGCATGAGTGTATGCGCGTGTGGGGGGACGGGTGTCTAGAGCTGAACGGCTTTGGAAAAATGTGTAATTGTAGTTTGTATGCAAAAAGATTGTATTCTATTTTAAATGCAAGATTAATGAAACTCAAGTATTCAAAGCGGCGGTACCTAAGCTTTTATGTCCCTACAGAAAGAGGTAGGGACATAGTTTGAACATATTAGAGCACAACATGTTGTCATGTATCTATTGTGTACTTGAGAGCCCTGTGAGCCCCTATTTGACACTATGGGTTGAGAGCTGAGGGAGAGTGGACCTCTTTTATTCCCTTTTATGTCTGGAAAAGCTAATCTAAAAATGTGACAAAAGAAAAAAAAGTGAAAACTAGTGGTTAAACCAAACCGTTATAAGAGGTCGGAACTAGTGAGAAGAATTTCACACAAAATTGGTTGTGTCTTGAAAGTTAGGTACCCCAGCTTCAATCACTGTTTCGACATTATAGTTTTCATTTTTAAAAGCAGTTTCTGACTAGCAAGAACACTTTGTTAATGTGGGGAAAATGCATCTAAATCTGGTCATTTCGAGCCAGAATGTTACTAAATTATAGAATTTTTATGCTAAATTATTTTCAACATTTAACATATTAAGCAGCGTTGAAAAAAATATTACTTATATACTATCATCAGTTTAATTTGATTCTTCCTGTTGAGGTGTGTGTGTGTGGGTGATCCCGGTGACAGTGCCTTTGTTCTTTCCCATGGTTCCAGCTCTTTAGAGGGAGCAGGCTGGGACAGGAAGCGGCTGTCAAGCATCAGGCCAATGTCTAAACTTGTGGCTTTTAATTGAGCTTGGGTCTCCTGATGATCCACTCCCTCCCTTCCCCTGCGTTTACACGGAGGGACCGATAATGGCTCTTTTAATTGTGCTTCCGGTGGCTGACAGGGAGCAGATTGGATGCCTTTTAATTATTGTTAGCATTTGCACAATTGAGTTATCATTAGGAGGGAGGCGGCGAGTGTTGTTGCATATGGTGCCAGATAGAGCTCATATTTCAATCTGGCATTGTGTGTTGCACTGTATCTCCGTGGATTAAAATGGGTAAGAACAGTGAAGATTGTTGTGTGACTTGTGTGACACATATGGTCAGTGAGTTTACATAGGCAATAATAATATTAATGTCGAAGCTTCAAACTTGTTTTTGTGCACATTGCCTGCACTTGTTGTTCCTTAAGAAGTGTCCACTTGAAACGCTTCCATATACAAGTTGTACTATTTCACAGAGTTTATTCTTAGATATGGAAACACAGCTGATGGTTTTGATTGTTTTCATCACGGTTGGATGTTACATATTTGAAGTCATTCTTCACTCAGTTGTAATAAATTTTTGAGTGATCATTATTTGTATAAAGCCACTAAATGTAGCTCTTTAATCTAAAAAACACAGTTTAGCAGGGTTGCATATTGGCAAACCTGACTTATACCTGCCTTGGAAGATATTTATGAGGTTCTAGTGGTAATAATAACAGTGGTCTATGGAGCAAGTTTATTTGTTTAGCAAAGTTAATACAAGGCAACTCAAAGTGCTTAACAAAATAATAAAAAAAAACATTACATTGTAAATGTAGTTGTTTATTTGTCTTGTTTACCTTTGTCAAGCACAGACACATAATGCAACACATTTCTGATGTTGTTCTTTTAGCGAGTCCACTGTATGACATAATTCTTGTTTACGTTTTGAACAGTGAAAGCCAATTATATTCACATTGGTTATTGTTATTGTAAAATCGCAAGTTGTAAACTATTTTATATTTATTGATCGTCTTTTGATGGATTCTATAAAGACTGGGGAATTAAATCCAAATGTCTAACAACCCCAATGGGTAACAATTCATCTCTATGAAGATGTTCTCCACAGGCCATCACTGAATCAAAACACTTTACACAGTCCTAGTTATCTACCATCATTCTGCTTTCGCTACCTTCTGCTACCTTCCGCTACCTCCTCCACACTGTTCGATTGTGACCCCTCCAAATTTCAAAGTGCATTGGCCACCGCCACTAATGCCCAGTTAAATCTCAGGAAATGGGCTCCCCCAGAAAGAGAGCGTATCCTGCTTGGAGTTCATTGATGAGAAGTGAAGGTTCCCAGACAGCCCTCTTTAGCTGCCGGCTCTAAGTTTTCTCAATTGCTACTTTTAACATGTGGTTAAAAGCTGTGCAATTGCAAGGTGGGTGCCTAATTCAAAGCCTTTGTGTCTACGAAAAAACCCCAGACAAAGCTCATGAGTACGGCGCATTTGTCACTGCCTCCAGATGTTTTGCAATGTATTAAGTAAATACAAACAAATTAAACGCAAACAAAAAGTTGACGCTGTGCCCTAATCTGAGTTTCACAGTCTCGATTTAATAAAGCCTTAAACCTGCTTTGAACAATGAAATGCAAGGAGCAGCTTTAAAAACAGAAATGACTTGGGAACTGGACTCTGCTTTATTGGTTGCTAACATCATTAAGTGTTCAATTAATCATAATATTGTTTGAGGTCGCTCGGGTCCACGCTGAAGGGAAGGTCAAATTAAGTCACTCTCGACCCAAATAAGAAGTGGTGTGTGCAGTCTTAAAAAGAACAAGCGTGACCATTGAAACCAAAGAAGTTTGTGAGCGCTACTGCTTTGTAGTTAATAGGAATTCAACAGGAAGCTTTTTATTGGTCGTCACGTTTATGAGACTGTAGTAGACCTTATAAGCCCACTGTTTGATTCCATTTCCATAAAGTATAAGGGCCATTCCGATTTCAGACTTGATATGCTCCTAATACAATGGACAAATGGGTTTAGGTAAAGAGAAAAACTTGAATTCTTACACCTAAACCCCTGTTCTACAACATTTCCAATGTTCTTAGGGAAATAACAGATCATATAAGCTTGAAATGACAATGTTACGTTTTGCATTCTCTTGCATAAACATGAAAATCAAGTGGGTCCAATTTGGTGCTGACATACATTTTGCCAAGAGGTGCAGTTTGAAAGATTTGGATCATTGTGCATTCGTCATTGTGGATGTTTCCTGAAAATATTATCCTTACCTGTTAACCCCTTGAGTCTCTTATGGTCAAACAAATAGACAAACGCAGAAGATCCCTTTAACTCCTAGGCGGTTCTTGATGTCAAAAATAGATTTTTTTTTTGCATTCTGCTAGGTTCTAGGTTCTGTGTGAATTAATGAGCAATTCATTTATGGAAAGACAGAGGACTGAGATTGACTTGCGTTGGAGGGTTGTCTCTTTCAACCCTCCCAAAAGACCTACCCATTCTGCTATTGGCGAGTCAAGTCGATTCATTGGATTCAACCCTCCCAATCCATCGCCCGTACGTCTCAACCACTTTTGCGCAGACATCTCGCAGAACAGAGGAAGCGTCTGAACATGTGGGACCACGCGGAACATGTGGATCAATTAGAGCGGGGGGCTGTGTCAGCATTGTTTACACCTAGCGGTAAAGCAGGGAGGGGGGCAGTGGGAGCCATGTGTGCGAGGGGGCAGGGCGAGTCGTGTGCTCCTGTGAAAGAAGGACAGCGGGGAGAATGTGAGAAAAACTCGAGCTCCCCCCACAGCGGCACGATGAGAGGGCCAAGAGCTGGAAAGGGGAGGGTGGGGTGATAGAAGCAAGGGACATGCCAGGACATGCTTTCAGGGACTGAGGAGAGCATTATTGTGGCAAAAGCACAAATCAATCACTTGGTTAGAAAGAAAAGGAGAGAAAGGGGTGTTTTGGTCTTGATTTTTTTTAATTTCAATTTCTGATGGCGGGTAGGGGACTATCTATCACTTTTTGTCAGCTACACAAACTCTTGAAAACTACACAAGATGCAGACGTCTGAGAGAGCTATACTTCATATAGATTTTCCAACTAAAAACATTGCATTATCAAAGAAACCTTACTTTTTATCCTCAAAAGTGTATTGTAACGACTTTTGGGTGTAACGTAGAATGTTGTGAAACACATGTATACAATCTCTTCAGACTGTCATTTTATCTTTTCACCCCTTGCAGTTTGAACACTATATAATATAGTCAGCATACAATTCAAACGTCCATAAACATTGCTTCTTATAAGGTTCCCGGGGAAGAAAGATGCAGAGGTCTGGGATAGTGTCACAGCAGAAGACCTTTACGAGCACATTTTTTATAATTCAAACAATGTATTATGTCTTCACAGCTGATGTATAATGGGTCTCTGTTTAAATGCAGAACATAGGTAAATCAGCAGCATGCCAAATTTTCCACACATTTTGAATACACAGTTTGACTTGGGTCTAGGCTGTTTGTCCTGTTTTCTTGGCATCCATGTAAACGCTCTGAATAGACCCATTGCATCTGGCAGCTGGCAGTGGCACCTATCCCAGTTCAGCCTTGCACAAAGATATCCAATCTCAGAGTTTGAATGTCTAATTATGACTTCAATAAAGTGAGAAATGCTTGTGTTGAAATCCATTACAAGCTTTAAGGGTGTGTCACGGCTGCCTATACTTGCATTAAACGCACCACTTAATGACATTATAGTGTAACTTGTAAGCACTTTTAACGTGTGCGATCCCAGTGTTGCTTGGCGCCACATCTCTTCATCATGTTTACTGTATGGAACTTTTATAGATGCACAAACTGTACCCCAAAGCAGGCATCTGGACATGTTTTTCCCTGACTTAAAAAGTGTCATCTGTGCAATAAACATCAATAGGAAAATAACTCCTATATGCACTGTAATCATGCCTTTGTAATTAAAGAGTGATTACAGCATGCATATGATCCATCTGCGAAGCACATTGGGCCAAGTGTTAGTTGCTATGTTTAAACGTAGCGACATGTAAACAGCCATCACAAAACCTGAGCTTCTAAAAAGTCTTTGATATATAGGAACCAAACAAAATGCACACTATACATGGCAGATGTTGCCTTCATGCGCCCGACTTTGTATTTTGGACGAAAGATTCAATGCAGACGATCAAGCAACATGTTTGGAAACATTTTGGTTACAGAAGTACCTTAAAATTATGTACTTGCCACGATAAAGTTACTTCAAACGTTAACTTCCACCGACAGGGGCAGTTTCAGTCCTCAAAAAAAATAAAAATCAAGGACTGACAAAATGCTTTTCCAAGATTTACTCAACAAATTTGCCCTCAACTATACATATTTTGCTGCTATCTAATGAACAAACAAACCATGAAGAAAAGACTAATAATGCATGGTAATATTGTTTCTCTGGTACAAGTGCCCACTGCCCACTATTGCTTCAAGTAACTGTAGGAGTAGCTATAGGAGTGTTTGAAGCACAAATAGAAGACCACAATAAAGGAATTGTGTGAGACACCAAAACAATTAAAGTTATTAAATCTCAGATAGCTGCTACCACTTGAATAAATGACGTGACAGGTGAAATTTCAACAGTTTCAAACCCAGGCAGCCTCATTGTGTAAGTCCATTTCCAAATAACAGTAAATTACAATACAATGTAATCAAACTAAAGCAGGTAAAGCAGATTGAGTGATGCCTGAGGAACAACAGACTCCCTCATAATGCGAACCTGCAAGCTACTTTGTGGAGTTTGTTTAATTATAAACGCAAACGTCAATTTCTAAATGTGGTCATGGATAGTTTGAACGCTAAATGGCTAGCATAACTGCAAAAAACACTCTCTGGAATTGCATTTTTCATTATCTCTAGTTATTAGCTTTCTGCCTATGGGGTATGTTCAATGATTTGGGACCAGGGCTGTTATGTGCAAGACAAGGGATGGGCACCAATATTTTGTCTCATTGAGGGATATTCCCGCCGAGCCCCTTGTCATCCCGTTTAATTAATTCCGCACGGTTTGAATAGCCTGGACTGCTGCAAACTCGACGCAGAAAACAAAAACACATTACTTTAGTAATTGAAACGACACAACCAAATGGTGTGTGCCACGGACTCCTGGCTGTTCTAGACAAGTACTTAGCAGATGGTTTTAAATGACTTTAGCACTTATGTTGCACCACTTGTATTCTGAAATCAATTAAAAAGGGTTGCAGAAATTATAACAGAACCATTTTCTCTTAACTGCTTTAGATGGAAATTATGTTTGGGGAAGCATGGCTAGATCATTTACTCACATAAAAAATTATGTTGTCTTAAACGACCAGGCGAGTGTAATATAAGAATTAATATTTTGTATAAAATATTCTTTTCCATCCATCAATTTTGATGGCGTGCATTGGAAGTTCTATCTATCTAATATCTTTTGGAAATCCTATATATCTATTTATGTTACAAAGAAGTATTGGAAGTTATATTGGTCAATTGTGGTTATTCAAATTATGGCCGTAATTAACAATTATTTTGATAATCGTTTACTTGTTTGGATCTTAAATAATCAATGAATGTTTTTTATATACATTTGACCAAAATTAATGCAAATCTCCTTTTTTATGTTCACCAGACTTTTGACAGAGACCAGCAGTGTTTGCAGCTGGCACCAACACAATGGAAAAAGTGGTGCTAATTAAAAATGATTAGCGCCCGAGTGTTGCTTGGCGATCAGATACACAAGCTGCTGTTTTCATGATCACAGCAGGCAACTATGTGCAGATGTAGGAGTCTAGTTCATGATCTGGTCACCAATCTATAGACGTAATGAACAGACAGAACATTTTGAGGCTGTATGCTTAGTAGACATAATATGTAACGGGACATATATTTGATTTGTAATATATTAATATCTGGGGTATTTATATTTTTATTTTTATAAATAATCTAGTGTGACAAATCAGGCCTATTTTTGTTTTCATTCTTCTTTTGCATACTTCTATAATAGTTCCGCATGTATGGCAGTGATGGAACAGGGTCGCTGAGAAACCAATTGTGAAGTGCTTTGTTCAGACAGTCCGTAAAAGATTCTATTTAAAAAAGAGATAACTAACTACTACTGCTGGTAAGAAAGATCCCTGTGAGCCGCACTTTTGGCTGCAACCTGATTGGCTTAGTGACATTGGTCCTCTCTTTTTCACCATTCTGTCTGAAAAAGCTGTTTGAAAAATGTGACAGGAAAAAATACATAAAGGTGAAAACTAGCAGCACGTTACAGTAGATGGATTTTAATTCAATAGTTCAATATCTTTTTTTTTTAAGTTACTGAGACATCGCTCAATCACATCATGTTTATCCAGCTTTAATTTAGTGATTAGATTAAACCACTAACACTAACCCAATGTTGCTGTTGATTGGATATAGTTGGATGTAGATTGATAATATTTTGTTTATACAAGTTTACTTTGGATTTTGTTCTAATCCCAACTTTGTGACTTGTGTCTGAAGGTGACTGTCACAGACCAAGGTGTTCCGCCCAAGTCCACCACAGTGCGCATCATTGTCAAAGTGCTGGACGAGAATGACAATAGGCCACTGTTCCTGGAGAAGATCTACAAGATAAAGCTTCCAGAGCGCGAGCGTCCGGAGAAGGAGCGTGGTCTGAAGAGGGACCCGGTCTACAGGGTCATTGCATCGGACCGGGACAACGGGCCAAACTCAGAAATCTCCTACAGCATTGAGGAGGGTGACGAACAGGGGAAGTTCTTTATTGAGCCCAAGACCGGCCTGGTGTCCTCCAAGAAGTTCTCCTCAGCTGGAGAGTATGACATCCTTACGGTGAGTTGTGCTGATGCTGAAGTGGATTGTATGAAAATGTGTCTGTCTTTTTGTTGTGACTAAATTTGGAGGAGACACAAGATTTACACAATACAAAAATATATACTTTTTGGGAACCTTTTCTTATATTAATGACTATCAAGAGACAAATGCAAATGCTTTTTATTTCCTGGCCATAAAAAAGATGTGTGATTCAAAGACCAACACAATAATTCTTTCATCAGATCCAATAATAATCACATCACTCAAACATATTATGTGGCCTAGGTTATTCACCCGACTGTTTTGTCTCTTGAATACATTTTGTTTGTCCCAACTAAAAAAAGTCTTCAAGTAAGACAGGATAGTGAGTTATTCAGTGTGTTCTCTGTGTTCAAAACAGATGTTCTTCAAAATTCTCAAAAATACATATAAGTTCTTTAATGCTTTACATGGGACTAGCCAATGTGTTTCAAACATAGCAGCGTCTTCGTCAGGGCATTGATGCACTGCAGCAATGTGACTCTCCACTGTCTTTTTGGCAAAAAGAGTCTTGTTGACTCTGCGACTGTTGTGTTTATAGAAAAGATGTTCTCTTTTTACATTCTGAGATCTGATTTTCTGAGTAAGGGCTTCTCTTTGCTGTTCTAAAGATGTGACAGAGGCCAATAATTCTGCACATGCATGTGCAAAGTAGAGATAGAACCAAACTGTTTGAGAACAAAGAACGAGTTACATAGATTATAATACTGAAGTGGGTACTCCAGGTTTAAATCATTGCTTAATACTCAATGAAAACAAAACTCAATTAATCAATTTATTTGCCTGGTATATAATATCTAATTAGACCTCTATTGTTTCCCTGAAAGACTTACTGTAAGTGGCTCTATCATTTGTCAACACAGCACCATTAGGAAAGTGTCAAACTGCAATGTGCTTTGTATTCACAGAGCTGTTGAGGAGTGACTAAAAAATAATGTGTTGTGCGCGAAAATGAATCAGATCCGTCACAGCTCCAGCCTCGTATTTACCTCCAGTTCATTCGCTAAATTGGCTGTCAGAAGGCTATGTGATCCACCTGTTAACAACGCTGCATATTTATCCTGATTTAGAAGGAGATTGTTTTTCCTACATTTCCATTTTAAAAGACTGGGTTACAAAAGGGGCTTGACAGAATCTATTTATCTGACAAGAGGTAAGTGGTTGTGGTTAGACAGGTAAAAGGAGATGGGAAATATGCTTTTCCTGGAGCCAGCTTTGCAATAAAAGGAAACAAGTTCAGATTGGATCCTGTCATGATTTTCAAATCTGGAGAGATAGGCGTATTGTATGTAATTGCATTTTTAAAATAAACTTTTTAACAATATTTTTTTACTTGTAGGTTAGTGTTTCATTGCTCATTTATACACCCACAACAACACTTTGAAATTCCCGGATTTATGACGTCTGTAGAGCCCTGGAAGACCATAAGTTCATAAATCAATATATTACTGTACTCTTATTATTTTGCCGAGGGATGTAGAAGCTTTATTCATGGCAGACCAAAAGAAATGCATGAAATGTCCTTTTCAAACAGAGGTGGCAAGTAACATGTAACCGGCACTGTTCTTACCCTAATTCTATTTCTATTGCTCTGCACAGATAAAAGCCGTGGACAATGGGCGTCCTCAGAAATCCTCCACGTGTCGCTTACACATCGAGTGGATCCCGAGGCCCAATATCCCGGCCGACGCTGCACCCCTGCAGTTCGAGGAGCCCCCCTTCACCTTCTCTGTCATGGAGAGTGACCCGGTGGCACACATGGTCGGAGTCGTGGCCACAGAGTCCTCGGAGCTCCCTGTGTGGTTTGAAATTACAGGTACGTACAGTTTGGAAACACTGTCCCTCCAAAAAGTACAGTATCTTGTAAAAACAAATAAGATAAGATAAACTTTATTGATCTCACAATGGAAAAAAAATGAATACAAGTTGGATTTGTGCACATTTTGTCATGTGTAGGACCACAAACATGAAGACTACAACAACGTAACAGACAACTGGGAAGTGAAAGCAAAATCATCCTTTTTTTCTTTTTTAAACATGAAAAAACGGAATAGATGGCCTTACACAAGTATTCATATAACCTGAGATAATACTTTGTGAAACCACCTTTCGCTGCAATCGGTCATCAGGACATCATCAAAGGCAGTGCAAAGCACTAAGAAATCCTGTGTGAATATGTGCAAGCCCAACCTTTCAGTTTTATATTAAAGAAATAGCAAGTTGAAATCATAAAAAATAGTTTTCACTTCATAGTTGTCTGTTACTCAGAGAAAAAAACAAGATTACAAAATGTGCAAACATGCTAACTTTTGTTGACTACTGAGCAAAATGTTTGAAATAGTTTCTCGATATTGAGTTTTATATGATATATATTTAAACTTATTGAGGATTATACTAAAATTCATATTTTTGCTTTGACCTCTATTACAGCTTTTAGTGGAAGTAGGGGTACACAGACTTGCCCAGTCAATTAGCTCTCAGCATAAAGCATTTTTGAAAATGTTGCTTTTGCATTAAACATGCTCTGCTATAAACAACACACACTCACATTTACCATAATATGCAGAACCATGTCAAAGTCAGACCCACGAGAGACTGGGTTTTGGCCCTTCATATATAGGGACTGGTGTAGTGGTCTTCAAAGTGGTCCTAATCAAGCGGGTTTGAGGACTGGAGTTTATTGTACTTAGTACTGTGCAAAAAACATATTATTCTAGAAATGTTACTAACTGCTGAACTAACTCGACCTTCTCCCCTCGCTCTTCTTTCTCTCTCTCTTCCTCTAATCCCTTTCCGACACATGTCTTGTGTGTGCTCTATTGCTGCTTCTCTCCTTGGAATGCTGTGTGCGCTAGACGCCACTGAGGACTCTGAGCTTTTTTACATCCTGCAGATGGCTTGTGACCACAACTGTACCGCAGAAGGTATACAAGCCCACCAGGACCCCACCGCATAAGCCGTGCTCGTGACCCCACCCCTCCCAAGACCATCCCATAATTCCATATCTCATGAGTCCCTGTGTCTGTTGTGACAATTGATTTCAAACCCGCATTCTCTCTAATGAGAGAATGTGCCTTCTCCTTATGTGGCGCGAATCAGGCGAGCTCATCCCAATGCATTCCTTTTCTTTTTTTAGTGCTGTCCTTTGTGTAATTGGAATATTTGATCTTTGTACTTTAGCGCTTGTTGCTAATTGCATGTGATGGCTGTTATGCAACGAACGGTTAGGTGAACAATGGCGTGTCTGTCCACTGGGACCTGAATGCACCAGGATTATTTTGGTTGGGTTTCACTGATTAATTCGCTAGGATTTTTTTTTAAATATTTTTATTATCACGGTCTCTTTTTGGACCCCAGAAAGAATGTTTATTTTTGTTTCTGAGATTATTTCTTATCTTTTTCTTATTTCTTTTCTATATTTTTTCATTTTGTTTCATATTTATTCACTTTTAACTTTTAATTATATATATAGCATCTGTACAATAGACAGATTATTTTGAACTGTTGCTTTCAATAGCTATACAGAATCATTCTGATGAAGTTCCACTAATACTTAGATTCCCTTAAGACCTAAGGGAATCTAAGTTTCAAATCACAAAAATGGAACTATAAAATAAAATCCATCCTACTAGTTACTTGCTCTCAAAACAATTTGGTCCCATCACTTTAGTTTTCAGAATGAAAAGTAAATACAAAAGAGTGGACCACACTCACTCAGCCTATTAGTTTGCAGTTCAGCCAAAAGTGCGTAATAGTGACTCTCTGTGCTCTTTCACAAGTATGCAAAATATAACATGTTTCCCATTAATATGAAAGAGGAGGATGTGGTCCAATTCTTTCTAAAACGTTTTATGCTCTAACTTTCTGTTGAACAAACTGTACCCTAGCTACTGTTAGGTACCCTAGCTTTAGATTTACCTTTCGTGTGCAGTTTATCATATTCTTTCCTTTAGCTTCAGAATATAACTTTTGTGGTGCTACCTCACCTTTACTCCGACTTAGGCCCCATTCTACAGAACATCCAATATCAATGTTAAATGTGATGAGACTTAAACTTCTCCATTCATATTTCACTCCTCAGCTTCACAAAGACTTAATATAAAATGTCCTCCTTTATACATTCAGTCATTCTCGCTTTGAACAAACACGCCGATCTGTGTACACAGCCCGTCAGCACACTTCAATAATAACTATTTGCCCGCACTCATCACCCCCTCAATTTCTGTGTTTGAATAACCTTGTCATACAATCTACCTGCCTAATCTTTTGTCTCATTTGAAAAAAAACAAAAAACTTTGCAGGTGGTAACTACGACAGCCGCTTCGACGTGGGCAAGGCCAGCGGAACCCTGATCGTGGCAAAGCCCCTGGACGCTGAGCAGAAATCAAATTACAACCTGACAGTGGAGGCCTCAGACGGAACGCGGACTGTCAGCACGCAGGTAATTGAAACGCCGATGAGGCCGTGTCAGGGGCTGATGAGCCTTTTTCATTCACAAGACGTGGTACGCGCGAGTAATGAGTGATTCGGTACTGCCTTTGTCCGTTGCGTCAAACCACTCAGCGTTCTCGTAATTGTTCCAGGTAATAGTGGGGCTGGATTTTTATAATGAACACTGCTTCTTGAAATGTTGTAAAATGTTGACTGGGTAATGTGCCAGCAGGAGCATATAGACTCCCTTATGATAAGAGACAAAAAACATGCAAGAATCGCATCCTAAACACGCAGAATCCCCACAAAACAATCGTCACAATACATTTATCATCAGCGTGTGTGAATGGTCCGTGATAGGGATGCAGCGTCGTGGCTAAAGCTAACATGAGCTTTTAGCCATGTTTTGCCGTAGCTGTGTATATATCCTGCTTCTCAGATGTTTTTAAGCTCCCACAGACAATAATCCTCCATGCATCTCTTTTCTTTACACTGTGTTTGTGTGAAGAGAAGAGATGCATATATATTATAATAGTAATATATATGCATCTCTTTAAAAAGCCCATTACAGCTTTTTGCAGTGGGTGCCGCTTCAGAACGCGGTCTTGTTTACATGTCGCCTCCACGCGACTGTGTCAAGTGACCGAGACGTATGGAGAGATCCGGTTATTAATCAAACTAGAGGTCCATCGAAGGTTTTCGTATTACCTGGACCGCAATACATGATCTCATTGCTAGATGGGAGTAAAAACAACCCAGTGTAACTTTTAAGCTAGTCTTTCAAACAAGTATTCAAACAAAAAAGAGAACCACGCTTATTATGTCAATCAACTCCCAACCCTAAATGTCAAATAGTGACTTTTTTAAGGGTATTAAATGAATTCAATTAAGTGAAAGACAGTATTTTTCAGCTGATCTTTACACAAAAATTACATTTGATACCTCAACTATTACATATAGTAAACTTGAAATAATGACAGTGAATAGAAAGAGCATATTGTAAAATAATAACAGTCTAATGAGCTCAATGCAAGCCATTTAAAAGTGTTCAATCATGTTCATGTAAGCCTGTAGCTGGTGTAGTTAGTAAAGAACTGAATTTGACTATTCTGGAGATCGTTGGTTTGAAATGAAAGAACATACTTTTGCAGTAGTTTTTAAAAAAAAATCTAATTTACTTGGCCCCTGAACTGTGGTTCCATTGCACTGCCTATTAAATCATTTATCCACGTTCAGCACAATTTAAAATAGGCAAGTCCTGGGAAAACAACACTCTTGACTTGCCATTAGAACTCAAAATTCCAAATCCACTCTGTATTCGCAGCCCTTACTCTAGTTTCTTTGTGGTGAGAGCCACCTCATCTTTTCATTCCCCTAAATAAAAAAAGCCGTCTGTCTTTGTCCTGTGACACCCTCAAACTGTCAACAATGAAAAATGCTTTCAATCTGTGCGGTAATATGAAAAAGCGTTATCAGCGCAAGGACTGTCGGGGATCTATGCAAAATATTTAACATACTTCTAATGCGCTGGAACAATGCAATTAAATGTATTAGCATGTTAATTCCATCTCAAGCGCATAACTCGGGTCCCAGCTGATTGCAAACAATGATAAAAGATGTCTGCTGTTCGGTCGCTTTTGTCATGCTTCGTCACTGACATTTTGAATCTGGGGTTCAGAGCATTTTTGGGGCTTGTACACGGGACAGTGGCGTTCAAAAATGTATCGGCTATTGTCCTCTCAAGGCCCAGCATCTGAGAGCCGGCGCTGGAAAAGAATCTATTTGTTGTCACTGTGCATGAATGAAGTCTTTTATCACGAGGCTGATGTTCTCCACTGAGCCTGGATCAGAGCAGTGTGCAGACCTATAGACTTTAGACGCACCCTGAGAGTGTGTGGGAGATGGGAAAATGATCAATGGTGTCTTTTTTGGTTTAGTTTGAAAAGATAATGTCCAGAGTGGGGCCGGTCACTGGTATATTTATTGTTTTAGCTATAGTTTAAGGAGATGTATACATTATAATGCATGTATGAGGTTTTCAAACACATACAAACATCATTATTTTATATATTTTTTGATTATTATGTGCTGCAATAATGTTTCTATCTGTTGTTTCTATCTGTGAGAGCATACTCACAAGTTTATCATTTGACACTTCTGCTTGTATAGAATAGCATATCTCCAACTAAAGGTGAAATGCAAAAAAAAGTATTTATTTTTGCTATTCAATTTAGAACGTGAAACCAATATATGGTAAAGACATGCACATAGACAGATGCCAAGCCTTTAATTGTTATAACACAATTTTCAAAGTATTCTATGTTATATTTAACGTTTTTACAAAGTACGTACATGTGTAGAGAGAGACTAAGGATATTGAGTAGCACCATAAGAAACACTTGGTTACAGCATAGTAGGCATTAGCCAACTGTATATGATGAGTGAGCCCCCTTTATACAGCACGCGGAAAGCTTAAATATTTAGATTAAACTCCTGTTAATAATGTGTGTACTGCATGTGTGTGTATGTTTACATATGTGTATATGTATGTATATATGTGTGTATGTGTATATGCATATTGTGTATATATGTATATGAAGATATTCGGATTGAAATATTTGGTTTTCGGACACACACACACATGGCAGTGTTGTGTGTGTATGATATATATATATATATATATATATATATATATATATATATATATATATATGTTAACAATTCATGTTTGAGTTACGCTTGTTAAATTTTTTGTTTTGTTTTGTATTGCTTATGTAAGCCATCTTATTTGTTATTTCTCCTCTGTGAAAAAGGACCCCCTTGAAAAAGAGATTGTTTATCTCAATGGGGCTATCCTTAAATAAATATATAAATAAATATGATGATTCTGGTTTTACCCCAAATCTTCACAAATATTATAAAAAGGCCACACGCAGAATTACAATGACCAAGCCAATGCTAAAAGGCTTTTAATTTGAGGCTCCTCTCTGAAGTGCTGACATTTTAAATCAAATTAATTACATGCAAAGGTTAACCTATTCCAAGGGTCTAATTCACACTGGGGGTGATTCCCTGCAGGTCCTCTTTGAATACAATGAACTTCTAACTTTTATTTGATTTCTTCATTTGAAGTACTGTTGCAAAGCTGCCTACAAGAAAGTCAAAATATAACTATACTATTAGCATAGGTAAATGAGCAGTAGATTTTTTGGAAGCGCTCTTTGTGTAGTCTAAGTATGTTCAAACGTATAGTCAGAAATAATATTAGAATAATATTATTAAAAATCACGAAAATGTTGCAAAACAGGAGAATGACAGTGAAAATCAAGAAAATGATAGTAATAATAACGTTTTGTTTTTTTTATCCTTACAATTTTGGAATAAAGTCACGGACTGGATCAAACGGCTCGGCGGGCTGCCAGTTGATGATCAGGAATATATAGGCTTAATTCAGATTACACATTACATCAGCCAACACATACCCATTTCCAAAATAACATGTTTTGTCTTTCCACTCAAAATCAATCCCCAAATTATGCAAATAAATATTGACACACTCAACTCTTTTCGCGACTTTCTTATGATAGTAGTGTATATGTTGAAACAATCCTCAGATAACTTAATTTCAACTATTTCCCGTCCCATGCCGTACACCTCGTGAAAGCTTCCAATCTGCTTTATCTGTTCCTCAAATCAAAGTCATGTGGAAGCGCGCTGCCAGACAGACTGTCCTATTTTCCCTCTCTCTCCTCCGAATATTTTCCTTTTTTCTTTGTTTTAATGCCTCCTCTCTATTCCGTCTTTGTCTTCCTGTGATTTCCTCCCCTCACATCCGCACTCATTGGACCCAGGCATGATGATTATTCTTGTTGGACACAAAGCGGATGAGAACACTGGACCTCTGTGGGCAGTGGGCTGTGGTAATCCTGTTTTGGGAACACGGCGCGCGCCCGGTGCCAGTGACCGGCCCTCTGCCTGTCTGTGCCCAGGATCCGCCACCTGGTAGGGGGGCTTCCTTTCCTACGCGTGCAGCAATCACGACCAGCAAGTGCTCCCACATGCCGCTGTGGCAAAAACACTCCCACTGTGTTTTAGTGTGCCTTTTGTTCCGCTCTGTTTTTATAAGCAAATGTTACTCCCAAGCTAATTATGTGAACAATATAAAGGAGATACAATGGAAATGGTGAGCTTTTGAAAAGTTTCTAATGGTTGTACTACGAAAGCAGCTTATTAGTAGTAGTAGTAGGTCAAAGATCAGATACAAAATATATGGAAAAACTGTCTCATTTAAACAACCACTTTAACAATGGTAGCACTGAATGTATTTCAAAAAGGGAATAACTTTGACCCCATGTCATTGTGTATTCATAATCTGTATTTGAAAATCTTTTAGTGGAGCTGCAGCACCAGTACTTTAACCTACTAGCTGACTTTTTTGGTACATATGCCAGAATAGATGTATGTTTTTGTGTTTGTGTGTCGAAGTGGTATTAGTTCACTGTATTAGTGCATTGTAAAATACATAACATATGATAATGGTTTTTATGAAGCTGTTTTTATGTTGCTTTGATTATTGTCTCTGCTTGTTCATTTGTCAAATCGTAAAATATTCGAAATATTATAAATCACGAAAATAGAACTTTACTCTTGTTGTTATGCATTACTAGTGTCATAGTCTCATGACACTAGTATTGCACGCATTCCATATATAACAATGGAACTTTTTAAATATCGCATTGTACTGTAAGAATATAAGAGCTGGTAGAAAAATCCTCCGGTGCAATCTTACGTCAACATCAGCCTCGGGGCGTGTGGGAGGTCTGCGGAAAACAGTCCTCATTCTGTGTGGTGTTTTCCATCGCAGCATTGTGGAAGGCACTTGAGAGGCATCAGCTGATGGAACCGAGAGCAAGAGCCTGAGCATTCCAGACCGGACACTTCATGGTCAGGAGCTGGGCCAATATTACCCCCCACACACATATAGTGAGCCTCAGCACTTCCTCCCTGTGT